GAGTGTTGAGGCATTGGAACAGGGTGCTCAGGGAGGTGGTGTAGGCACTGTCCCTGGACATGTTAAAAACATGGGCAGATGTGGTGCTTTAGGAGATGGTTTAGTGGTCACGGAGGTGCAGGGCTGATGGTTGGACTTGATTATCTTGAAGGTGTTTTCCAATCTTAATGATTCAGTGGTTCTGTCATTGCATTGAAACAGCCTGCAATAGCTGCTGCAAATTAAACTCCTGTACCTAGTGTTTATTTATGCTGATGCTCTAGTAGTCTTGTTCATAGTCCTTGCATAGATCATTGCTGAGAAAAAAAGTATCACTTTTCCCACCACTATGTGATGGAGCCATTTGTTTGTGAATTGTGAAATGTTACCAGTTGAGCTGCATCAGTCTACAACTACTGTTGTATAGCTATAAATGATGTAAAAATGTATAGAAATACAGAGAAACGGGACCCTGGAGTCATTCTGCAGGTAAGCCTAAATGTAAAATGTGTAGGTGTCTTAGGCATAGGGTCAGTCAGGTACAGAAAGCTTGGCTTTCACTTGCAGGTTTTCCTTTTCTGGTCATTTTTTCTTTCATCACATTAATCTTTACTTCAGATGACCAAAAGCCCCACTTTGCTCTGTAAATAAACAGAATCCTACCTTTGAAAAAATGAGCCTGATGACAAAACTGAAGGCTTTAAAGATAAAGAGACCAGTTTGTTACAGAGAGAAATAACAATAGCTGGCTTTTGTCCACTTGAAGTAAACACTGATGTTATGTGTGTGCTCACAGGCACATTCTCTGGGCAGAAACAAGTTTTTACATTGCAGATGACAGCTGCTGCCTGCTCTTGAGTTTGTTACTTCTGCAGCATTCAGATTTGTAATGGTGTCATGAGTGACTACCTTGTTCTGCTACTGCTTTTGCCAAGACCTGAGTATATCACAAAGTAAAAAGTGAGAAGACCAAAAAAAAAACCAAACACCCAAAAAACAAAAAACTCCCCTGACCCTCAGGAAAAAAAGCAAACTGTTAATAAGTCTAATCAGTGATGTGAGTGAGGCTCTCAAGTCAAGCTGCTTGAACAACTTCTGCTTAAAGCATCACCTCAAAGTAAACGTGAATAAAAAGGAGAAAGTTTTAAGCCCTGGATTGCCTGAATTTGCTTTTGGATCTGTAGATAAATTAATTGATTTTATATAGATATTTATCTAGAATGTGTTTTTCCCACTATCCAGTGGGAGTGGCTGTACAATGAGAAACCAATTCCTTGGACAGGGCTGACTGGTCCAGCTGCAGATACTCGAGTGTGTGATCTTCTGGTTCTTTACCAGAAATTTCACTCTGGAGCCAAGAAATGTTTACAGTCATAGTTAAGGCAGACAGATGCTTTAATGAATTTATTTACTCTTTTTAAAGTTCCATCTACCCAGAAAAAATGTCATTGATGTCCAGACAGCTCATCAACAGGAAATATGGTCAAGGAACTGGTTTTGCTTATTTTGGTCTTACTCATAGTACAGGAAATGTGTGTGTCATTATATGCACCTCTGTGAAATGAAGTCATGACCACTTTGACTGCTGGGGTGCTTAGGGTTTTTTTATTTGTGGAATTTAAGTGTGAAATTCTTCTTAATCTTTAATCAGACTCATGTTGACCACAAGCCAAAGTTCGCTGAGTGATCTTTTTTTTTTATGATGCACGAGTTATACAGTGTAATGATAGGTAAGGAAAAAAACCCTAAATTCCATTATTGACCAAGATTAGAGAACTCAGAATGGAGGGCCCCAAGAGTGGCTGAAATTGTGACTGAGAAGCAGAGGCTTTTTACTTGGATGTCTAACAGGTATACTTGGATATGTCAAACCATGATCTTTAGTTTTCTAACCTCTGTGCATCCTGCCCTTCAGCTATGTGTGGTAAGGAATAGTTGTTTTGGGGATGGGAGAAAGGCTTTGATCACTTTTGATGGAGGACAAGCCACCACTGCCCTGTACTGAATCACCCCTATGGATGTGTTGTTTCAACAAGACAAGCTCTGATGGAAGGATGCAGAATCCTCCCGTTATCTTACCTGCTTTGCAGGGAGCCAGAGGACTCAAGCTGCAGGCCAGATCTACAGGCCTGCAGGCAGCTGAGTGGATGAAAAGCTGGTGCCCACCTGCACAGCTGCAGGTACATGACTGAAACAGACCCCAGTCTGCTGCCATTGTCAACAAGTCTAATTATTGTGGCCAATGAAAAGTCTGGGAAAGTGCCTTTTTCTTGTTCAGGGAATTACGTTCTGTGCTGCAATGCTGATGACTGCGATGACTGTGCCAGAAATGGTGCTTTTGTTTGATTTGCTTTCTCTACTTTTTTTTTTTCTTCCACCCCCATTTAAAACAAACAAAAACGTTTATGCTTCAGAAGTGAAGCAGAGGTCTATGTCTTTAGGAGCTACTTCTAGCTGCAACTGGTCATCTAGCTTACAGAATCATTAGTTTTTGGTAGATGCTCAGGAGCGACAAGGGAGGCAGGGGGTAGCAGTTGTATGTAGGAGCCATAACCACTTGGGTTTGTCCTTGGAGGAAGCAAATTAAGACCAACCCTAAGAGGTATTTAGGGACAGGCTTTTTCCAGTTCCTAAGGCTTCTTATAGTTCCTCACAGCAAGACAATATAACTTCCTGGCATTTCCTCAGAACCTGTTGAGCTTGGTGTGCAGTAACGTGACCACCAGGTAAGAAGAGCACTCTGATTAGAAAAATAAATTTGGTTGATTTGAAACAAGGCATATGCTAACTTCAGTTTAAACTTTCATCATAAAATAGACCCCCTTTTCTTGATCTGCTGTACAAGATGCCTGATGTGTATTCTACTAGATAGTCCTAATTATTTTTCAAAATTACTCATCCTTTTTTTCAAAACCAAAGCTTTTTGCAGAATGTTTTGCCAAGGTTGCCATTAGTGCAAGAAATTAAACCATGTATTTGCAAAAAGTTAAACCTTTGTGCCATTTGAAAACCACTGCAGTCTTGTCTTTGCAGAAATACCAGCTGGTATCATGGACAACTAGGATTGATTTAGCTCAAGAGCTGAATATAGAACAAACAAAAGAGCTGTGTATTAAACAGCTCCAGAGCTGCCATATGCAGTAGCTAGAGATAAATGCCTTTTTCAGGCCAGAAAGCTGCCAGGAGGTTGGGCGAAGTCTGGGAACAGCTAATACTGCAAAATGGCTCTTTATACCTGTTGGTACAAGAAATAAGACAAATTCATGGTCGAGGGCTGAAGAAAGAACCAGCATCTACCACAACCAAAAGAAATTCTTATGTTGGGCAAGTTGCCTGTCCTACTCATTCCTTATTTCACCTTAGGTAATGCAAGGGAAAGGTGTGTTTCTTATGTTCTGCAGGTACTGTAAAAGGAAAAAAGTTGATTATAAGAACTGCATGCCTCAGTGGGATTTAACATCAAACAATGCCCCCTTTCCAGGATGTACAAACAGTTCCATCTTTGCTCTGCAGATATGCAATATACCATGACTTGATGTGGATAAGCAAACTGAATTATTGCAAACTACAAAACCCTGGATCTTTATAGTAGGACCACAATTGTACCAGTCATTAATTTATTTATTATAAATAAAAAAAATAAATACTTAATAACTTACTGTTATTTCTAAATATACTTTCTAAAAATATACATCTAATTTTAATATTCTCAAAAGTCTGTTGCGTTATACAATTATAGACAAACTATACAAGATTTTTTTAATAACAGACACTTTACGCTTCAGAGACTACATTACTACAGAGATTAATGCCAAATTAACAATATCCTGCTAGAGAGTTTGAGCAGTATTTAGACAGATATAAACTGAAAGTACAACTAAGAATTTATTACTGTTTAACGAATTGCAATTCTCCACAGAACTAGCTCCATCCCTATTTACCAGCTAAGTTTGGGCTGCTATTATGAATAGTCATGTGAGATCTGAAGGGCCTCCGCAAAGCTTTCCTTAAGATCATCAAGTTCCTTGTTGGTTTCCAAACTGTCCCAAGTAATCAAGTTTAAAGTTGCCTCACATGAGGGTGAGGTGTCCAGGTCTTCCTCAGATTTCACACAAGAATCAGACTCTGTCCTGCCATCCAGCATTTCAGCAAGATGTTCTGAAAAGTCATCCCTGCTCTGTGCCTCCTTTAAACTTTCCCTGTGTATTGGTGATGCAAATTTGTTTGATTCCATTAATGGTAAGTCCATGGTCCCAAAGAATTCTTCACTTTTTATAGCTTTTCTTTGCCTCTGACTTTTACTGGTAAACTCAAGCTCTTCCACTGTATCAAACTCGTGCAGATCTAGTGAGTCAACGGCTTCCCAGTCTGCATGGATTTGCTCCACACCACCTCCTGAGCTGCAGCCAAGGTCTGCTTTCAGGACATCCAAAAAGTGGCGCATTTTGCTCTAGGGGGTGAAAGAAGAAAGGGGTGACAGTCCTCCAGCCCCACGGCACCTCTCTGCCCAGCACTCAGGGCTTAATTCTGACACAAGGAAATGCAGGCTGTCTGCATTCAAGTGACTAGATTATAAAGCAAGTGTCACCAAACTGAGTTGACTGTTGTCCCTTGTTTGTGCCTGTGACTCATGATCTACCATGATCGATGAGTCTGCAAATCTACTTTATGGAGAGAATGCTCCCCACTGAGCATTCTGGTTATTTTTACCCACAAATACACCAGTGCATTTCCACTGTACTTTGGAAACATCACTGAAATCATAAGCAGAGGGGGAAAATATTACAGGGGCAGCACGTACCTCATCCAAACGGTTCTTATTTTCTTGTATATGCCACTCAAACAGTTGTTCCAGAGCTCTACAAATGAACAATTACATTATTTCACAGGAAGAAAACCAACTTTTAACAGATCTACATACAATAATTACCTTAGTTTTGCATTTTCATTTCTTAGGTGAATGGGCCACTGAGGTTGTTTCAGTTTGGTGGAGCTAATAGTGGCCTTCCAGTACCTGAAGGGGGCCTATGGGAAAGCTGGGGAGGGAATTTTTACTGTAGCAATAGGACAAGCGGTAATGGCTTTAAACTGGAAGAAGGGAAGATTCAGGTTAGAACTTAGGAAGGAATTCTTCAATGTGACAGTGGTGGTAGTGAGACTCTAGAACAGGTTTGTGAGGGAAATTATGGATGTCCCCTACCTCAAAGTGTTCAAGACCAGGTTGGATGTGGCTCTGAGCAACCTGCTCTAGTGTGAGCTGTCCCTGTCCATTCAGGGGGCTTGGGATTAGATGATCTTTGAGGTTCCTTCCAGTCCAAACCATTCTATGATTCTATCAATTCTGCTCTGTCACACAGATGGCTGCCCAGAGTCAGTATCCCACTGGACATGTTCTCAGCAGGTGGACATAGATTTTGGCAGCAGATGGTAACCATGGTAAGAGAAACCAACAATCCCCTCATGATTCTACAGGCACATTGAAGTATCCCAAATCTCATAAGTGCACCACAGTGGCTGATATACACAAGTGTGTATAAATTGAAATAATTTAATAATTAATAATGTAATAAATTCAGCTTAAAAAAATTATCCAGAGAAAACTCCTCAGTCCTGAGAGCTCTCCTATGTTGCTTAAGCAGGAGGAGAAAACATTTTAGCACAGAGAAGTGTTCCGTGACAACTACGATACACAGTCACTAGAACTGACTTCCAGAAGGTCAAGTGAATTTAATCTAGCTTACATGAGAAATTATTTTAAAAAATAGTGGAAGAAGCGTTTTAAGGGAATATAACATTGCTGTAAAAAAGAGCCAGAGGAAGCCTACCCTTGGAAGTTCTTAAAGATTAACTTTTTGATTTAATGTAATTAACATGCTCATGGATAGCTTTGACATGAGAATAAAAAAAAGTGCAGAGAATAGGAAAACAGCTGACAACATGATAAACCCAGAGGAAGATCAGAACATTATGCTGCAAGTCGACTGCCTTGAAAATGAAGTTACAAAAATGGGTTAAAAGTATCAGAAATACTGAAGGGTGGGGTTTTTTTTGTTTTGTTTTTTTTTTGCTATAAACTGAGAGTTCTTTATCAGAACTGGTACAGAAAAGAATTAGGGAGTACTACATGAATTGTATCAAACCTGTGTTGAAGACTGAATTCATGGTGGAACGGGAAAAAGGACAGAAGGGAGATGAACGATCTGTTGTGTGAAAGTTTAGCAACTTTGTTAATTTAGCCAAACAGCTGGTGCAGAGTAAAATTATTTCTTTTTAGCATTATTCTGCCTGGGTTTCCAGGTCAGTTTCTAACAGAGGCTTTATCTCATGGTACACAGAAGCAGATCAAATTAGACGACCCACAGGCCTTTTCCTAGTTCCCCTTTCTTACATAAAGCAAAAAGAAAAGGAACCAAAACAAAAGCAAAGGTTAACTGTGTATTTATATATTCTTAAAGGCAAAGAAATTATTACTAAACGCTACTTCCCTTTCTTACAGAGTTCATGTATTTCTGCCATAGCATTACAAATTTGAAAGCAACTGTAACCTACCTGTCAGAGAATAGCCCAAGGCTAAGAATTTCATTTGTTACATCTTCAATGAAAGCTAAATATGGAAGCTCATCTTCTCTGCAGGGAAAATAGAAAACCCAATGTCAAATGTTTTAAAACAAAGACATATTACACAGTGCAGTGGGTCCAGAGAACTTTATGGCACCTGCCGTTAAGAAGATTGTATAGTTCTGGTTCCAGCTACTATTTTTCAAAAAAGCTAATTCTATCAGGACAAACTAAGCCTTTTGTGCAATTTGCATAATAATAAAAACCCCTATGTAAAATACCAGACTGTTAGAAAGGCTGCTATGGTGCTTTGTGTTTATGCTAACTTTCTGTTGTGGTAGAAAATTAGCACTGAGATCCTTAATGAGGAAACCAGTAAACCTTGGGAAAGCATCCAGAACCTGCTTTACACTCAAGAAGAAGGTGCTAACTGGGAAGAAAGTTTGATGCTCTGAGTAAAGACCTCTAAAGGAGCTTCTAGAGAATCTTCAGACTGCAGCTGAAAATTGCTGATCTGCAATGGAAGCTCAGGAAAATATAAGTGCTTATTTGACAGCCTCAGTTCCTTTCAAACACAACTCTTTGACATACTAAATTCTTGTTAGCATGAGATGTGGCTTTCACCTCTTTGATCACATTTCTCTCTCTTTTAATACCTTGTTGATGCCAGTTGCTCTAAATGGGAGACTCCAAAAGTTTGGAGCTCTGTTTGGAAAACAAGACAGAAAATCCCAAAAGAAAATATTTCAGTGTTTTTTCTCTTTCACTGCATCTTTTTAAACATCTCATAGTATCTAGTCAGCCTCTATTGACTCATGCTCCAGTCTTGAGAAACAGGAAAAAAAAAAAAAAGGGACACATCTTGGAAGATTATTGTTATGTTAAATTGGCAATCCAGCCTGAAGACTGTAATTTTCCTTCCCTCTATAGTCAAGAAAGGTATCTGTAAGCTGATCTTTGATACCTATGTTACATCCTTAAAGTCAGGTAAAACCAAGTCAGTACCAAAGCACAAAGAATTGAATTACTTTATTAAGGTCATACTATTTCAAGTTCATCATTTTCAAGAAAGAGTTTCTAGTTTAATGATGCAAACTAGCAGAAAAATGGTTTAAGCATACTTACTCAGCCTCAATAGTCCTCCTTGCTGAAGACTGCTGCGAATACAACGAGCCGTCTCTAATCAGAAAATCAGAGGATAAGGAAAACAGCAACATAATAAAATCCCTTTATACTACCTTGCATCTAACTTTCTTCTGGAGCCATTCTGTGCTATTGTCCCACTTCCTCTTGAAAAAAGACGCAACCAGAACACCCCCAAACCCTCCTCCAGTAGCAAAATCCACTGCTTACGTTGAAGCCTGAAAGACTGGTTCAGGAGTATTATAACACCTCACTTCATGAATGCAGTGCTCTAACACCTCAAAAGACCTCAGTGTTACTTCAGATGCCATACAGACCCCCACTATCCGTAAGTGTTGTTTTTTTTAAATTAGAGTACAACTCTTTTCTCAGGTAAAAATGCCTTTGTATGAGAAGACCTGAAACCAAATCAGTGAGTCATGCATGATGCTCAGGTCAGCAATAAGGAGAATCAGCTGGGAGCCCTTGGATTCTGGCCTCATTTCCAACACTGTTCTTGTATTGTAGACATTATTCTAAATCTCAGTGTTACATTTTCAGAAACAGATGTGGAGAATACCTCTGGTCTGCAGTTCTCACGGATCATAGATTCAAAAGGCTGGATGTCCGAAGACCTCTTTCATGAAAGGAATTACCAGTTGGAATACCAGTCCAGTATTAAGTTGTAGGTCTCTATAAGAAATACTTAGCCTACAAGCTCAGATGTATGTTTGGATATACAGAACTTATAGCTATATTAATGTGTCATTGCTCTCACTCATGACAAAAATTGCTCATATATATCAGAGCTCTCTTTCTTAATGTGCTTCTCAGTGGAAGTTATCATAAGAAAATAATTAATTTTGAAATTGGGAAAGGGCATGTATCTAAAAATACCCAACTAAGCAAAAGTCCTGTGAAATAAAGAGAAATGGTAGTGAAGGCTTATGGCTTAAGCAGCAGCTATATAGAAAGCAAAAAGGAGTGCTTCAAATATTCCCTCCTGCTATAAATCAGGCACCTTAGGAAGGAGTAAGGAAAAGCAGCTATTTCTCTCTCAGGCTCATCTACAGTGTATCTTCTGTCTTCAGCCTACAACAGAGAGATAAATCTTTATTATCTGTGCAAATACACAGCAAATTTTACTACTAAAAGGTACCTAATAAACTATCTGTGTTTAAGCAACTCCACAAATTCTATACGTAACTAAGACATATGGCAGCAAAGGATCATCAGCTTTGACATTCAAAATTCTAGCCAGGGGCAACAGGAGGTGTGGAACATTTCTCCCTTGACAAGTATGTCAAAGATGAATTCTCTAAATGCCAGAGCAGGTCAATGTCACCAACAGGAGTAAAATCTAAAATCCAGTATGCAAAAACAGGAGCCAGCACTCTAAATCACATCTCCTGTGCAAAATGGGTGGAAAGTAAAGTTGCTGACTACCTGCACTCTAAGTTATAATACTCTGAAAGGGCCACTGTAAAGCTACATTACTTACTGTTGTCACTTTTACAAGAGCCAAAGAAAAAGCCAGATACAATGAAATTAAATTGAAAGCTCTTCATAGAACTGGAGTGAAGCCTTCTACACAACCATTTAGCCTTTTCTTAATGAGGTCATATGCAGATCAGCTCAGGTGCTATCTCTTCTATTTTCAGTAAAGCTATAAATACATATGCTCTCTCACCCTCTCCTCCAATGAATTAAGCATCATTATTTGCCTTATTAAGCTAGAGACATGAGGAGTCTGATCCCATAGCCTCTATGCAGGAAAGCCCACAATTACTCAAGTACTTCTCTTACATTTGACAGGGCTGTTTGTTTTAAGGACTTGTCTGTGTAATGGCTACAATATAAAGCACAAAGTAAGAACTTCTGATAAAACTCTTCCATGCAAATGTTAGTACAAATTAAGACAAAGTAACTTCAGATTTGAAGTCTTAAGAAATGTTTCATGTCTTTTGCCTGCTTTCCTCTGCCTCCCAAAGATGCTGCTAGTCCCTTTCCTCTGTAAAATGTAACAATCTTTAACCACCACCCCCTAAGGCAATTTCTGAAAGACCAAATAACCAAAAAACTAAGTTCAACTGTCAGAAATACTGAGCAGTTCAAACAAAAAAGAGGGATGAAAACATTTATATGAATATGACAAAAAAATACCAGGAGCTGGTACAATTTTCATTGAAGCATTCCAAGATGCATTCAGCAAGAAAAAAGCAAACAGAATCAAGGAAAACTTCACCACCCATTGGTTTGGGTGCTTCCTCAGAGGAAGGGACCCCTTGATTCCAGTTCTTCTGCGGGGAACTTTGGTAATGTTATCCCATATGAAAGTGAAAAAAAAAATAATACTTGAAAAAGAGATACCTTTTTCTGATCAAAAATAATGTAACAATTATCTATGTCCTTAACAGATATTTAATTGATAGTGCACTTGTAAAAATGTTGAAAAAGAAATTCTAAACTTTTTTAATATCCTAAGATCTCTTCACATGCCTCATTATTTTTTCTTTTTGGTCCCACTTTTCTTCTGAAACTCTCCTCTACAGAACTAATTAATATAATGACAATAATAACAATGCAACTTAAATCAGTTGTAAACTGCTATGGCAGAGACAGAGTATCTATTCCAAAATGGTGAAGGGTGTGGTAAGAGTACCCAGATGACTGATAGGTGTATTACCTTCAATGGAATCTTCTGCTGTTCAGTCATAACTTGTCTCTCAGATGCTTTGTCTGCATATGGAAAGCTACAAAATTTAGAGATATATTAAACTGCCAAGAAGGATATTTTCAAAATATGCAGGATGAGAATATCAGTGCCACTGGAGAAATTTCCTGGCAACCTAAACAGGACATAGTACTAAAATGTTTCAGCCAGTTTAGAAAATTTCTGACAGACTTCCACTCACATAATAAAATTAAATCATAGTTCATCTTGAGGGATGCCAATAGTCATACATATGTGACCCAAATCCATTATTTAACTGCCTGTTTACAAGGGATTGCTAAGTTATCCAAAATAATTGTTCAGAATTGAGAATGGAGATGATTCTATACATTAAAAAGGCACTAGGAAAATATAAGACCCACAGCAAGAAAATCAGCAGTTGCAATATTAAGCTGAAGCTATGTCTTATGAAACTGCTACTTTGTTCTAGGACAAAACCAGAGCTAGACATGCAGGCACTGAGGACACAAAAGAGAAAAGATTTCCCTTTCTGAGGTAGTATCAGTAAAAACAAAGCTACATCAATACTGTTTGATTTTAATTTGCTAAGATGTTCAATGCAAGAGAAGGACATCAATTTTGTATACAGTATTTCCTATAGGATACACTTGAAGTAATTTAAACTAAAATGATAAAACGCTAATGAAGAGCTGCATTCAAGAATTTAAAAAAAAAGTATCTTTGCATAATGTATTGATTGACAAATTGGAAAGTATGGGACTACATGGGCAGCAGTGGGGAACTACTTCCATAGGGGTTCAGTCTTCAGAAGACAAAAAGCACAACTATACACTAGAGAGAGCAAAGAAAAAAGAGAGGGAAGGGCTACCCCCAGCAGATGTGAGATCTCTCAGTTTGGATTTAATGGCACTTTCTATCCAGTTTGTGTAAAGGACACAAGTTGCTCCAGAGAGAAGACAAAATATGCCAGTGAAAAGAAAAAAGTCACATTCTGTTCTAGATTTTGCTAAGGCATCTCTAGAATAACTATTCAGCTTTTACACAACTGTAAATGAGAGCAAAACATGTTGGTTTTATGAAGATTCTGTTATAATAACATCTAAATCCCATAGTTTCCAAAGAAAGTTTTAATCTCCATACCTGTTCATGTCAGTCTGCGTTTGAGCTTCCACATGCTGTTTGCAGTGATTTTTCCTCTTCCTTCGAGCAGGAGTGTAATACCTGTACTCTGACAGGAAAGATTTAGCATCTGATATTAAGGTGCGTGGAGTGAAAGGTTTTCGGCTGTCAGTGAAGAATTCAGAGTGCCTATGTAGAAGATCCCCACAGCATACTTTGGATTTTCTTTCTTGACACCTCTGGGAATGATGAACACTCCCAGAACTACCAGTGGAGCAACGGCACGACAGTCCAGAGCGTGTTCTTGCTGTACTTGATGTACTGACACTTGAGCTGGAGCTAGATGCATTAGATCGATTCCGAGAATCTTTTCTAGCATGTTGGACTGGACTGGAGCGAACCAAACCACGCTCGCCATAAGGAGACAGTGCTCTTGATAGGTACTGTGCCTGCCGAGCGTAGGGGAAGGGACCATCTTTGTCTTCTACCTCCAAGAAGCTCTAGAGAAAAAGAAACCAAGATTTGATTCATTTGCAAATTACCAGCTTTGTGTTTGCAGCTCAGAAAGCCAGCTGTGTCCTGGGCTGCATCAAAAGAAGCAAGGCCAGCAGGTTGAGGGAGGCGATTCTGCCCCTCTACCTTACTCTTGTGAGACCCCACCTGGAGTCACTAACATAAGAATGACATGGAGCTTTTGGATTGAGTACACAGGAAGGACACAAAATGATCAGAGGACTGGAGCATCCCTCTGATGAAGACAGGCTGAGAGAGTTGGGGCTGTTCAGCCTGGAGAAGAGAAGGCTCCAGGGAGACATTAGAGCAGTCTTGCAGTACCTGAAGGGGACCTTACAGGAGAGCTGGGGAGGGACTTTTTACAAAGGCAAATAACCATAGGATGAGGGATAATTGCTTTAAATTGGAAGAAGGGAGATTTAGGTTAGACATCAAGAAGAAATTTTCTACTGTGAGGGTGTTGAGACCCTGGAACAGGTTTCCCAGGGTAGCTGTGGATGCTCCCTCCCTGAAAGTGTTCTAGGCCAGGTTGGCTGGAGCTCTGAACAACCTGGGCTAATGGAAGGTGTTCTGCGGCAGGGCTGGAACTAGCTGCTCTTTAAGGTGCCTTCCAACCCAAACCATTCTATGATTCTATGAAAGATCATGCTATTTTTTTTGGTTTCTAAAAAAAAAATTAAAACATGTTATGCATAAAAATTCAGCATTATTCCTGAATGGCATTAAGACACTGTGGCAAAGGCAAGTACGACAGAAACACAACTAGATGTAAGCCTCCTCTTCAGCTTTTTTTTTTTTTCCAAATTACAAAGAACAATTTAATAGAAATTTTATTTCTGTCATAGAACGTTGAAGAATTTGTAACTTCAAAGAAAAATACCTGGTACACTAGTAAATGTGTCTTACAATGTGTCTGAGAGGTTAGGAAGTATCATAGCGAGACAGCTGTTGTATATTTTTTTGCTACCTAGAATAGAGTCACCCACTGTACATTCTGTCAGTCAGTGAAAAGTATGTATGACATTTTACCATCTCCAAGGTCAGCCATATTGCAGAAGTAGAAGATTAAACCAGAAGCCTAACAGCAAACAAAATTTTGTATTAACTAACTGATTTCATCCGCCTGTGTAACTGTTTACGCAATCCAAGTTCTGTTATACACAATTGTATGATGGAGAAGGGAGGACTCAACTGTGTGTACTCAGACTACCTAGCAGTACAACTCCCAGAGACTGTGCTTGCACCTAGGTCCTGAAACAGTGAGGGAGACAAGCCAAGGACAGTGTTATTCTGGAAAACCTTGTTTTCATACTATGTAATCAGTATAATACAAGGCAAAATAACAGCTAAAGTAAAATGACATTAAAAAATGACAATAAAATAAAATGAGAAAACCCAACTCAAACCCAATAGCTAACAAACCTAAATTAATTCAGTTTTAACAAACTAGCTAGACTTCTAAAAATAATTATTTTACTTTCCTTACACTCAGGTAATTCATATAACTCCACATCAACACCAAGTGCTGAAAGATTTAAGTGAATGTATACAAGTAGATAAGTTTCCTAACAAGAAAATTCCATTCCTAAGGGCAGTTAAGGACCAGATTTTTAACAAACCTGAAGTTTAGGTTGATGTAGGCTAACACAGGTATTAACCTGCTGATATACTGCTACCATCTGAACAAAGAACAGAAAGATAAGGAAAGACCTGTATTGGCCATAATGCTCTCTAGTGAAATAAGGGACAAAGGGAAGTTGATTTCCATGTGTTCCATTCATCTCTAATTATACCTTTATCAAACAAGTAAAAATTATTCAGTAGAAGCATTGCATCACTGAAATCACTAAAATAATAGCTCCCCTATAGAAATCCTGAGAAAGAGTGGATCTAGTATGATATGACTTAAACATACACTATGACATGCATTTATTTATGACAAACACCCCTAACTGCCAGTTAAGTTGCAGATTCACCCAGCAGCCCATCCTGATCTTGTAACTAATTGATGCAGAAAATATTTTGAGAGACCATGGATTCTGTGGATTTCCAGTGGTGCTTCATTGCCTGAGCACAGTATAAACCTGGAGAAAATCCTCAAGAACTTGTTGCAAAGAATTGTATTATCAATATGTAGGTGGAAGTTTGGATGTATGACTTTCCCCACCAGTAAGAGACAATGGACTGAATGCCAACTGAAGTGGCAAGACCAACTGTAAAATAAAGTATGTGTAGGAATTCTGCAAGATAAGCAATACTTGCTGTAAGACTTTTGAAGTCTTCTACTGGAGGAGGTGAGGAAGGAAAAGCACCAACCAACCAAACTTGGAAATCCTTATATATTTGTTAAAAATTCATGGCATTGTAACCTACTAATATATAGTATAGGATAGCAATATATCACTAGTAAACTAAAAATAAATCATATAGTATATTAGCCTATGTAAATCATGGTATAGCTTGTAAATTTACACAGATTTACAGTTCTATCATTCAAATCCTAAAGGAAGATGTTCTTAAAAGTTCTAAGCAATATGTCTCTTAATGCATAAATGCTGCATTTCCTCATAACACTGCTACTGTTATTGCTTTGAATCTACACTATTCCATTACTTCCCTTTTGAAACTACTTAATATTTTAATTGAAAACTTAAGATTAGGAACATGTACTTTGTGGCATGTTGTAAGTGCTATTTAGAGGAATGTTAAAAAATGCAGATAGTTTACGATCAAAATTAAGTCACAGCTCACACTGTTGTCATACCAGGTATCTCCTTCACAACAATTCCACACAGCAATTTTCTCTCACATCAGTAAGATCTATCTATGCCATTCAAATACCCTGAAAGGTCCATAGTTGCTGATGCATGATGCAAAGAGGTTTGTTTTTTTTTAGTTAGCTGAGCCAAAAAAAGCCCTTCTTGATGGTGTCTCATGTGAGCCAACTTTGTTTTACTACTACAGCATAATTAAATGCTGAACTGATAACATGCGGTAACAATGCCAAACAAATGTCTGTGCTAGCAAGCAGTATAATAAGGCTTACCAGTGTGATTGTTTGCATATAAAATACTTGCAGTGGTAGCTCAGCACTATAGAAAACAGATAAGACTGGAAAGTTTCAGAATCCACCTATATAGATGTTTTGAAAAGCTAATTCCATACCCTTCAGTATGTATTATAAACAACTTAATTTTTCTTGTATAATTTTTGTTCTCAGTGATTAAAACAGTTCATGAAGCTGCAATACAAATCAGATTGTAGAAGCATTTGTAGAACACATGATGACTGGTGGCCTGCAATATACAAAATAATATTAATACTAACAACAACAATATACAAAGTTATATTAGCGAATTACACAACTACACCTCACGAAAGCTACATGTTCTTCTTCAAAGCAATTGAGAAGATCCTAAACCAAGTTAAATGAACATGCTAAACATGGCAATATTCTAAATTTGAGCATTCCTTATTTATGAGGAAGCTTAGGACAGTTCTTTTTTTTTCCTCCTCAAATGTATTGTAAGTAGAAAAGACCTAGAAGCTAAGGTAGTGACTAGATGTGCAAACCCGAGCCATATTTGTGTCAATCTTGAGATGTACTCATTCAAGCACTGAGAAAGAAGAATGTCTTTTGAAGCCTTTGCTCCAGGGTAAACCTTTACTGCCTAAACAGGCAGGCAGTTCAGCCTTCAGATACACAAACACCATCAGGAACAAGGAACTATGCTGCTGACTTCAAAGATTTTAAGAAGTGTCAGAGAATGCTGCTTGTCTTTGACTTGTCACCAAGCTTTCAGAAAATTATCTGTACACCTGTGTTGGTACAGGCAAGTTAACTGTAAGTGAGTATGTTAATTTTCTTCTGTAAGCTATATCTATAAAAACATTAGATGTTTAGCAGGGAAAAAAAAGATGACAAAATGTGCCTACAAATATTCAGTAACACACTGAAATATATTAAAGCTCTCTTCTTCAGATACAATTAAAAAAAAATATTCTATGGAGGTCTCACAGCTTTGGATATTAGCACCATCAAGAATTATAACTATTGTAATTTGGAGTCAGGAATCTTGACACTTACCTTGCTTACCAATATATGTTTCTATTCTATTGATTCAAGCAACTGAAATTTGTTTTGGAAGGTACAAATCTACTCAATGATGCATTTCAGCAATAATAACCCCTTTAAAAAGATTTAATAAACTACGTATTTATCCTTCAATTTTGTTAGTCACAAATAATTGCAGCAAGCTTGTATAGGAAGGACCCCTGAGTCTTCACAGACTCTGTGGAGGAAAAATTTAAGTAAAATCAGATCAAAGCATATCACTGTCATCTGATGGGTGAGAGAACTAACACAGAGAAAGAATCTAGACTTTTCTCTAAGTTACTTTTACTTTCTAAAAGTTTAGTTTCTCAAATGAAAATGAAAACCCACTGAGGTATCTGCTGCCTTATAAAACCCAAACTTTGAAAAGAAAGCTTGCTAAATCTACTTTCACATAAAAGAAGGTTCAAAGACACCTCTCACTGGGGTTACTGACATTACACTGAGATGAATTTAAGTCTTGAAATTAGCTTGTATGTGTAAGAAAAGGTCTTCCAATAGAACAGTTCATCTACCATCATAAGATGAGATCAGAGAGACACTTCATGAACTGCAATGTCAAGACACAGAAGCTGCAATTTGGTAATAAATGAGCATCTGATCCTTTGAACTTGAGACAGCTCCATTTATAAGTCACTTTAACATAGCTATAAGTGGGCTGAGTGCCTGTTTTTTGCTGCCTGGACAGAGCAAAATTCTCCTGCAGTAAGGGACATGCTGCCTTTACAGTTGCTGCTCTCATAACCCCCATGTATGTCAACTGTTCATTTCACTACACACTTCGATAATCAGTTAAGCACTGAAAAAGGCAAGAGAGAAAATTCACACAAATACATGAACAAGTAAAACCTGTATGAATACAATCAATCTGCATACTAGCATCAATAATAATTATTTTTCTCATTCAAAACTATGTTCCTGTTGCATTCTTTCCATCTGTGTGTGTGTGGTATTAAATTGTATAATGTGGTATGTTCCTACTTTCATATAATTCTGTGGTGTTATTAATAAGGGGTATTACTGAATGTGCATATGGAAATGTTTTAATTCAGACAACCAGCATGAGAAGTGACTGTCGCTATGAAGGCTGAGATGAAATCTGTATGGAATCCTGATGATAACATCTTTCTTTGTTGCTCAGAATGTTCTGCTTTCCTTAGTCACTTACATCTCTCATTCTGACAGAACTAATTCAAGCACAATACATCTTCAGACTGTTAATATCATAACAGTACAATAAATCTTTAAATAGAAAGCATTTGAGTAGGCATAGCCATACATAGCCATGCAAGTGTGCAGCATACAGAATTAGTAAGAGAGATTAGAAAACAGTTAATGGTGTTTCCTAATCTATATTTCATATGCACAAGCAGACAGTCATACCTGTCATTCTTAAGAAATAAAAAAAAGTCTCAAAAAACAGGCTGAAAGGGATCTTGAGATACCAAGGCAATGGCAACCATAATTCAAATGGTTAAAAGAGAAATTCACCCTCCTAGGCAGCACCCTTTTTTTTTTTCTTTGAAAAAAATTGTTAGCAGACAGAAAAGCCTATTAATAGGATATCTGACCATGGGATATGAAATACCAAGTCTTGCTCAAATTACAGATTTTGCTCACAGCCAGCTCAATTAATGTCTTTTTGCTTCAGAGAGAAGTCATATTGAGCTTTATGCAGTTTGACCCGTTATATCACTCAGATTAATGTTTAGAAACCCAAATCAGCTTTGTACAGAAAAAGAAAAGTTAAAAATCTAGGGATTTTACTAGGGTATAGCTTTCCATCCCTCGCAGCAGTTGGAAAGACTACATGGTAGAGGCATTCTATGCACCAACTGGAAGTGCTATTCTACCAACTGTGTCAAACAGCCTTTTCTCTTGTGAGGAAACTTAAAGAGTATTTAATTACAGAAGGAGTATATATAAGTAATTTGCTGACAGATAAATGAGTGCATACCCACAAATGTGCTGCTTACCCATCCTCAAGCTTTTTAGTCTAAAGAAGCCTCTAAATACTCGCTTAAAAATAACATATTTACAAAGACACACAAAGTTAACAGCTCTTTCAGCCTCCATATCTGTACTTTATCATATTTTGATTAACTTTCACACATGGTGTCAACCATCATTATTACGCTACATGGAAAGAGAGCAGCAGAGAAGTACAGGACATTTTATACTTTCCCTGCCCCTCTATTGACTGTGAGAGAAACTACAGTTCTTGAAGTAATTTATTTGCTAGCGATCATAGCAAAAGACTGCCCCATTGTGACATAGAAAATGAGTCTGCTCCTTAGCTTCACACTTAGTTTTCTGCTGAAAGCAGATAAATGAACGACACAGCATAATTATCTCTCATATCTCATATTCCACAGCTCTAGATGGAATATTTTTATCTCTGTGATCAAAACACTCTCTTTGATTAAAATGAATGATTATTTTAAAAAGTCATTAAGGAAATCCAGGTAACCACAACAGAAATAATTATCTCAGTTTATTACATATCATAGCAGTAACCTTTCATTTATCACTAGATATAACAGATAAAGAATTCACTGTTCTTGTGCATTTAAGTCCCTGTACAAGAAAGTTAAAGAGCAGGCTGCTCAGGTTCACGACACATTATATCTCTTCAGTGTCATGGTTTGCTCAGTGCTTAAGAAAATAAATGGATTAAATCTCAGAGATTTGAATAAATGTATAACACATTATATAGTTTAGAGGAATTATTTTTACTTTCTTTGGTTTTACCATTCACAAAGCACAGTCTCAACTGAAAACAGTTTCTGTGCTCTACTGCAGCATTAAATAATAATAAATGCATCAATGTGAAAAATGAAAATGCTGAAATAAAAGCATCAGACTTACCAGAATCCATAACAAGTCAATGCTAATGCATGAAACCCTTTGAAAATAGCAAGACAGATGCATACACTGGACTCAGCTAGCATTTATTTAGCTTGTAATCTAGTAAGACATTGACCTTGTCAGGATTTTTATTATTATATACATATATAAGTATATAAATATATATGTGTGTGTGTGTATATAAATATATGTAAGTTACTCCTAAATTTATATATATTTTACAAGAGCTACATTTTATGAGGCAGGAAATTATGCATTGTAAAAATATTTTCTTTAACTGTTGTATTCTTACAATTAAATGCAGCTGCTGCAAAGCCAGGAGAATTCTACTTGTCTCTGTTTCTTACATTCCTCCTGTAATGTAAGATTCTTATTAAGCATAAAACCACTTTCTACTCTTGCAACTACCTCCTTGGCAACCCAAGGTATTGCAAGGTTAACTGCTTCACGTTTGTGCTGAGTTTCATCCCAACCCAGGAATACCCTAATTCAACAAAACAATTTTTGAAGCAGTTCCAGAAATACAGGATGTATAATCAGTTGCTTCCTAATGGCAAAAGTGACTGAGATAATATAAACAGTCTGGGAAAAATAATCTACATTATGCTATTCTTTAATAGACATCCTTAGGATTTGTTTTCCAGCTGTCTCCTATTGATATACCCTGAAGGCTGGAGAAATACAATTAGAGTGGCTCAGTCATCCTCACAATGCATTATAGGACATCTAATCATTGAAGTAGAAGAATCCTCCCTTGGTGTATAAACACACATAGGAAATCAATGTATATTTTGGCAAATGAAGTGAAGTTGAAATAGGGCTTCATTTTTAGCATAAGAATATGACAGACCAATTACTCCCACTGACTACCCTTCTAACAGAAGGCACACACAGAGATTTTAATTTCTTCCTGACTCACTAGTGTTCTTGTTTATCCTACAGTGAAACATGTTTTGTAAGTCCAGCAATCAAATATTTGATCAACAAAGTGGCAAACAGTATTTTAGTGAAGATTACTCTTTGCGTTTGTAAAATTAAATAAACCCCAAATACTACAGGTAAATGAAGCATGACAGCAAAAAAAATACTTTTTTTTGTGTGGTTAATGTAATAATTAGAGATTTTATGCACACTTTACTTGGTTTTGCGATGAAATAACTTAAGGAATTTCTCTTGCCCCCAGTTTGCAGAACACAAAATGGAAGGACAAAGCCAGTATTATTGAAAAATAAAATTTGGATTTTAAATATATTTCCTCCCTTTTTTTATGCATGCCTGCACTTTCATCCACAACTAAGAGCCATGTACTAAATTTCAAAACATTATTTCTCTACACTGCAATAAGGTCACACTCAAAACTGCCTGCTGCAAAAACAAGTCACACAGAGAAAAACTAATGGTGAATTTTCTGTACTGTTTGGAAATGCTCTCCAGCTATACAGATATTTAAACTTATCTGGATAAAACGACAGCCAAAACAAGTGAACCTGTGTATATAGACAGAAAAGCACTTATTTTGATGGCTTAAGTACTATCTTCCCTTTCAAGAACTGCAATTTGAGCATGCAGTACTACTAGATACAAAATTTATTTCCAAAGCAGGACTCTGGACACAGATAAAAATACAGCAGATTTTCAATTTTTCTGCTAGGAAGGTTAGTGGCAACTAGAGTTCTGCCTTAGGAAATGGTAGAAAGCTGTAGACTGACAGAGAGGACACGGAAGTTTCAGCTGAAATGAAAGCAAGAGAATTCAAGGGTAACTGGAGGCTGAATTTACCACACACACTCTTCATCCAGATACCTGCTATCTTTGTCAGAAGGCCGAGATACGCATTTGGTGTTGGGCACATGCCAGGAAGACCCTTGTGTATTATTTTCTGCTGCTTGAAATATGCCAGTCCTCCCTCTAGAGCTGCTGCACAGCAGTGATCAGCTGTTATTATGGGAGGCAAGTAGACTAGGATATCTACTAAACAAAATTCAAACATCTACCTTTCCAAAAGAGGATGGCAGCAGCCTTCCACTCTCTCTTGAACTGGATCGGGAGGCAGTTTTACTCATACTCATTTCCTCTTCACACCTGGCTATCTTCTTTCTCAGTTTCTCTCTTCTTTGCTGGTCAGCAACTTAAGAAAGAGACAACATTTGTCAGATCCAAACTGAAATATTATACTTTTTTTGTCCTTTTTGTCCTAAGTGTTTTGAAAACATTACTGGGGTTTCCAACTGTTTAGCACACTCAAACTATTGATACTTTCCAACACACAGCAATTATAAAAAAAAAATTACTTGTATTATTAGAAGAAAAATATTAGGAAAATGCTGGTAGATGAAGCTGTATCTTTGCTTCCCTGACATATTTGTATCTCAAAACTAATACATGATTATGCAGAAATTCCAAGATCAGTATTGCTAACAGCACTCTGCTCGAAGACTCACAAGTTTGCTCTAAAGTTTTTACATATAGAACTTGTTTGACTGTACTCTCATCCAGTATTTCAGAAAAAAGAGATGTTTACTGTTAGTAAATTTGATATGTAAAAAATCCATGCTCACACCATGGAAAAAAAGCCAGTAGTCTCTCAAGTACAGAGATCAGTAGCAAAACGTGCATGTTCATGTCAAGAACATAAAAAATTAAGGCAAACACTGTGAAAGGGCTACTGTCAGACAAGGAGGGCAAATTGTTATCAACCTACATTGGTCTGCAGTCCAAGACCTTGTTCACAGTGTCCATGAAGCACAGTAGATGAATTAGGCATATATGCTACCAGATACAGAGAGGAGCCCAAAAGATGGGCAAATGTTCAGTGTTTGAGTTTGCTATCAGTCACCTACATCTGATATCTTGCATACTTTCACCTGTGTGCATTAACTCTACAGACATGTTAATATCTAGGAATTATTTACGCACACATATCCATTTTACTAAACATTTTAGTTCTCTTTGCATCCCGAGATGCAAAATCCTTGCTCTCATTCAGGGAAACCCCTCTCTTTTAATTCTTACAACTGATACGTAAAATACAAAATTATTTATTTTATGGCTGCTGATTTATTCAGCATATTTCATTGGAATACTTACAACGTAAAATTACTCTTATTAATAGAAAAACATTAGCTGAAGTTAAGATATTCTAAATTCTACAACTGAATTAAAATATGCCTTGGAAAAGAAAGAAAAAATATACTGCACCATGTAACAATTAAAATTCAGTATTTTTCTTCCTACGTTAAATTCTTATTAGGAGGTTATCCTATATTACTATTATTTCTAATTGTGTTTGTCTTACAGATGAGCATTAAAAAATTAGCTACCGGTCAGAAGTTTTATATGTTTGAGATACTCACTCATACCAGGCCAAAAGAGTGTGTCTGTGTGTGCACATTCATGGGAACTGTAAAAACTCAAGCCTTGCCTCCTGCTCAGGTAAAATGGTGATGGCTGAAATGAGTGCTAAATAAATGAGTGCTAGATAGCTAGGGCAAAAAGGAATGAACGACAGCTTTATGGAGCAAAACTGCAAATCACACAGAAGTATGGGGGGGTCTTACTTTATAAGCACGAGTAGCTGCCTGAAATAAGTATTTCCTTACACTCAAGGTGTAAGGTGGAAAGTGGGTTTGTCTAAGACAAGACAGGCTTAATCAAATGTTCTACCTGCATACCATGCCTAACAGGAATTTCTGGGCAAAGTGCAAAGCAGTGCAAATATTACTGCAAAACTGAGTTATCCATTTGTCCTTATTCTGCTCTTTACAGGATAAAGTCTGAGACTTAACGTACATGGACAGACTCTGCCTTTACTATGAAAACCAGCTACTGCAAACCTCCTCCAGGACTACATGCTGTGACTATTCTCAGTCAAAGCACTGCTTATGCCCATGAGGAAAGAAAAGACAGGAAGTATGCCAGCTAAGGCCATCTTGGGATGTCTGAAGGACCCCTTGGGATGTTACCGGTATGGGAAATGTGAAGTCTTTGCCTTCCATCAGTCATATAGTGATCTTAGCTCATCTAACCATTAAGTGTGTTCCAAAAGCTATAAAGTCACTCACACATCCTGAAAGGCAGAGGAGACATATGCAAAACAGTATGGTAGAAAATGCCAGCAGTGTATGCATCTTGTTGCCAGATTAGGGAATTTTCAGGCTAGATCGGCTGTAAAAGCTAGGAACTGTGCAACTAGCAAAGCAAGAGAGAAAGAAATCCTTCTTGAAAAGAGTTACTGTAGATGTAAACAGCTAGATCTAAGTTAGGATAGCCCTGAGGCAGTCAGCAAGTAACACTGACATGGGTATGGGTACTGACACAAAAACAAGCATGTTGCCAACCTCCCCTTACTTCCCATGTCCTTTCTCCAGGCAGGGAGCAGACAATCCAGTCTTTCCATTTGACTGTAGCCAGACAGAAAATGGCATAATATAAATTGCCTGAACTTTTGAGGCACTAATTACAATATTACAACTTATGAGAGCTGAAGATACTTAAGGCTGCCATACATAACCACTTGTCCTGCAGCTGTGAATACATTAAATGCAGAAAGAATGAGACTAGCACTCAGGAAGAAACAGTCAGTTTTAAAAGGGAGATTTATCTGTTAATTTGCTCTTTAGTTTTCAGCAAGGTTAATAAACTAAATTTGACAAGAATGCCCTCGGCATACTGTCATAGACTAGTGGGAAGTAACAACTGCATTTGTTAGCAGGTACTTAGTAATTTAACTGCAAGTAGCTTTTAGTGTACGTTGGCTCACAAACATATCCTATTTGTAGAGTTAAATATGGGAAAAGTTCAAGAAAATAATTATCTTGTGACAAAAAAAGAAAACCACTTTTAAACATTTATTTTAATCTCTTTTGTAAGGGAAAACTTAGTGTTTAGGAATAAAAAATACACTCTACATATCCAAATAGCATTAATATTTTTTAAAGCCTTATTAGAGACTATGAGATTAATTGTATCTCATTAACTGCTGTGCTCAAAACTCCCACAATTATTTATATTATAGCAAAGAGAAAATGTATTAGAATACAAACAATTTTTGTATAACAGATAAACTCAGTCTGTGAAACTAAATTATAATGTATTGCACCCATGCCATGAAAATGTTCTTTTAATTCTGTTGTCAATGAGAGGAAGCAAAAGAAAAACTATGAATTTTAGAAGCTGAACTGTAGCATTCTCCATAAAGTGCTACCTATAAAACACTGAGATTTCTGTAATAGAAATAACACTTTTGCAGAGACAAATACCCTTGTCACAAAGAGTACACCACACTTCCAAAGCAGAGATCATATCACTATTTCCCTGTTACAGCATTCCCTCTATAAGCTTGACTCTTCCTTAAGCCTAGGCTACAGCAGATTTTCTAGACACATGTTTAGAGTTATAAAACAAATGTCATAAACCTGGAAGAAGCAAAATAATCATACATACCACACTCCTAAGCAGCTTGAAAGCTCTGCACTTAGAAGGACAGTAGGATTTGGAATGCGAGTGGTTGTCCTTTGCTCTGAATTTCCAATCTCTAAATTTATCATGTCACATCACAGTACAATTGGCAGTTAACCTTCAAGTTAACTCATTTTTTATGTAAACAATCCATGGGAGACAATGAAAGATTAAGTTAGATTTAAACGGAATTCAGCCTACAGAGCAAGGTATCCAGAAGACTTGTTCAAGACTGAGTATTTCTCTGTTGTGTTTTTCCATCAGCTATTTTTGCAGTAGCACACTTCTGGTTATTATTTCCCTTACAAATTGTCTCTGATTAACAATGCAAACTTTGGCCTCATTTCTGCTTGGCTTGAAGTGCCTGCAGTGACCATAATTAACATGTTTAGCATATCAGTTGGTGCTATTCTGCAACCAAACTCTTCTTTCTGTAAGAATTTTTACTATTGGCTTCCTAGCTCCACACAAATCCTTAATACACCATGATTTAAGCACTTGGGGTGACATCTCATAAAATGTAAATTGAGTTTTGCCATTGGGTGGGAAGTCTGGGTTTCTCATAAGTCTAAATTTCTTAACACAGAATTTTTAGCTTTTCTAACTCTAAGAGACAATTCTGCAGTCCTTCACATCTATTATCAGTAGCACTGTTTCATCAAATAAGGGAGGAATCACACTGAAAAAGGGTGACAAAGGATATATTAAGGGCTTGATACTACAGCCTTGCTTGTACCAAACCAAAAGTAATGTTTGTATCAGGGTATGTACTTCAGAAACGTGATCCTGCTTGGCAAAGCTACTAATGGCAATATGTGGCCAGTGCTAAAGCTTGAAAATAAAGCCTAAGAGTGAGACATGAAGCCTTCAGTGTTATTTCAGGAGAGACCAGAAGCACAGGATTATCCCAAAACCATCCACCTCTGGTCCTCATATGGGGTCCTCATCCAAAAAACATCTTGTAGATACATCTGTTGGATATATAAGGAATTCAGCAGCCTGTTCACAGCCTACTACGTGGAAATTGTGAAACTGATGACAAAGAAAACTACTCAGGTAACCCTTCCAATTCATGTACCCTAGAAAGAGGTCCATCTGACTTCTAGGTGGGCTTAGTGGATTTTGTCTCAGGATACCACTGGGGCAGCCCCCAAAGACAGTTTAGACAGATTTTACTGAGATTATACTGAAAATAACTGTTCTCTGGTATACTATAGCTATTTTGTGATCCTCAGTAATAGTGGAAAATAGTATAAAAACAACAACCCCCGCAGTGGACACATGGTAAAGCTGAGTAAATTCAATTACTGAAACAACTACAGAAGAAAATTAAGTTTTCTCTATTTCTTGACCTTCATAGATTAAGACTGCATGTATTTCTTGGTTTTGTGCTTTATTTACTGTATTTAATAAGGTTGTTGAGTTGCACATTAGCACAAATAGATGAACTTTTTAGTCTGCTTAACTCATGATATCAGACCAGATGATCTAATGTCTTTTCACAACTACAAACTAAAAAATTTATTTCTGATATACTGAACACATATCTAAAATTAATTACTTCCCATATAGAAGAAAACCTATCTGTAGAAGAAACTTCAACGTAAGTAACTTCTGCAAAAAGAATTACTTTTAAAAAGTTAAAATTACTACAGTGAAAAGTACAGATTC